TATTCAGAAAGAGTATTGACAGAGGTCGCCGCCAGAACAAAAGCAGTTTCATTGCCAGTCTGACATCTTATCACCGCTGAACAATAAATAGGTGTGAATATTTTTAGGCATGTTGTCGAAACAAAGAATAGGATTAGGAACAATGCCGTTTTGGAACAGCTGGTTGAAACAATGAAGTCAGTCACGGTCTTGTTGAATTGGGGGTGCGGTTAGTAATAGGTACTTTTCAAGTTTTCAATTTTTGTTAAGAACTCTTTAACCCCGAAGCCGGAATTGGGGGTGCGGTTACTATTACGTATGCGGTTTATATTAGGACTTTAACGGTAGTCTGATAAAATACTGGTAGCCAGGGAGTTCTTTGTAGTCCAATAATATAGCTAGAGAGTTCTCAATGTGATTTGCCTAGGGAGTTCTCTGTTTAATATTATATATAGCTGGTAGTTTCCCAACATATAAACTGCATACAACAATGCACACAAATCTTATGTCACTGTTCTCCCTGTCAGGTGATATTCTGGTCTTCTTAACTGGTCAAGAAGAGATAGACACCGCTTGCGAAATCCTCTATGAAAGGATGGAATCCCTCGGACCGGATGTACCAGAGCTGATCATCTTACCTGTATATTCAGCATTGCCCAGTGAGATGCAAACAAGAATATTTGACCCAGCACCTCCAGGTAGTCGAAAGGTAAAATCACTGATACCAAGACATTAGCATTGCTGTTCGTCTGCTGCTAAGTAATGCATGGTTCACTCACAGATGACAATTTCAGGACATTTCCATATTTGCTTTCTTAGAAGCACTTCACCAGTAGAAGTGCAAATTGCGTGTATGATGGATCGTTAAAATTATTCTAACCATAGACACACAACTCATTTACGTAAGTGCATGCATTACTAATAAAGCAATTATGGTATACATTTTATTGTACTGATGATGAAATGCAGATTGTATTTTATATTTAAGCAGTTGACAAATTACAACTGTACATCAACAAAAAGAATATGATTCTTGTTTGATCACTTGACAGTGTATTTCAAGAAATCTGTTTCTTTCAAGATGACATTGTAGAAACTAGTGCATGACAATTACCCTGTTTCTTGTCCTATTTACAAATATCTATCTAAGTCAGATCATATCGGAAATTTCACCAGTACGCTACTAAAGGCCAAATCTAGCACATTTTGTTGCTGGCTCTGGTGGAGTAAATCTTGTTTTTTCTCACTGTAAAGTTTCTTACTGTTGATGTTATAGGTTGTGATTGCTACCAATATTGCTGAGACATCTCTGACTATTGATGGTATATACTATGTGGTAGATCCAGGGTTTGTCAAGCAGAAGGTGTACAATTCAAAAACCGGTATGGATCAGCTGGTTGTTACACCAATATCACAGGTAGTTAAATATATATTGGAAACCTTATAGTTACTGGTCATATAAAATGTGTACTGTGTCCATGACTAAAACCATTTCACCAGAAAACATGCCTTTTTGTCATTACTGTAAGTGTTGTTACAACTATGTTCATTCTATGAAAAATTGGAATCAAGTAATAATGGTGTAGGTGTGTTCAGATACAGAAATGAATAAATAGTCTATGGCAATTCATCGGAAATCAAAATTACCCTTGTTCAATTAACTACCACCCAATAATAGTATAAATTAATAAAATTATTGCTTACAATTGCTTCTGGTGTAGAATAAATAATTTTCAGATATTGAAAGTTAAAAAAACAAAACGCAGCTTTTTAGCAGGATATTGATTCAATATAATTTATTCAACTAATATATTTATGTAGTTGGCTACCAATAAAATTTATCGCCAGATTTTCTTGACTTTTACTATATAGTTTCATCTATGATGTTGCTCACAAAATCCAGAAAAAAATGTTTAGTCACTGATATACATTTTGCAAAAAAAATGAAAATGGCCATTTTGGGGCATTTACCATTGGTTACTATTATAGTAAAAATGTTTTGTTTTTTTACATGTAGTGAAAAAATGATATTTAGTGACAAGATGGGTAATCATTGCTTTCCTGAACTATTGAAAAATCCTGACAAATATTTGTTTTATGAAATAATTTTTTCAGTTTTTCAAAATATTTCATAACCAGTTTTAGAAAGTCACAAGGTTTATGACTTGAGTACAAATCAACAATAATGTAACACTTTTGAGCGTGATAATTTTTACCAGCTTATTTAATTGGTGTTTAATTAATTTAATTACCTGTGAATGACCTTTAAACATTTATCTCTCCTCCCCATATAGTGCTATGAAATATATGTATATATGTATTTATTAGCTATCACAAGTTCAAGTTTAAATCCTGTCCATCTAGTAAACTAACTAGTAATAAAAATGGTATTCTATAAATATTCATGATTTCATGCAACAGAAAAATACAGTACTTTGCACAATTCTGATCATCAAAAGTATGGGGGTAGTGATTTCACAGAGCACTCTTTCCAGATATATCACCATTGAGTGTGATTTGCATACTGCAATCTGGTCATCATCTTTCCTTTTGTGCCCCTGATCCATAGTTTAACCTTTTCTCTCCAAAAATTGTCTGCACTTGTTTCTTGTATATTCTTCAATATTTCTGGAAATGAACCCCAATTTGCAAACAGACAAACATGCAAAATTTGAGTCAATTTGGTTATTTTTGTCCCAATTTCCGAACGGGACTATTTTGTGAATTTGTGATCAAAAGCGGGATCTGGTGGTGAAAAAGTTAATATTTTCTCTCAATCAGTGTTATTTCTAAAATTGTTATGTCTCTCATTTCACACCACAGGCTCAAGCAAAACAGAGATCCGGTCGTGCTGGTAGAACTGGTCCAGGAAAGTGCTATAGGTTATACACAGAAAGAGCTTACCGAGATGAGATGTTGACAACAGCTGTACCTGAAATCCAACGTACCAACTTGGCTAGTACTATACTCTCCCTTAAAGCTATGGGTATCAATGATTTGCTGTCATTTGATTTCATGGACCCGCCCCCAACAGAGACGTTGATCGCAGCGATGGAGCAGTTACATTCACTCAGTGCATTAGATGATGAAGGCTTACTCACAAGGTTGGGCAGGAGGGTAAGTCAATGTTGAAAACGTTTCATACAGTAACTCGTGTTCAGCAATAATCTATTTTCACCTTCAGGAAAGATGTAAAAGTAAAATTTGTCTGGTGTCACTGTTGTTGTTGTCATCGTTGTAAATTTTTTGGTAAACCAACGTGAGACAAGTTAGTTTTACCATAGACTCTATAGTTGCACTGTAATGATCTGTTTCTGAAGATGTGCTCGCTTTGTCTTTTATAGATGGCAGAGTTTCCCCTGGAACCCATGTTATCAAAAACATTGATCATGTCGGTTCATCTTGGCTGCAGTGATGAAATACTGACTGTGGTGTCAATGTTATCTGTACAAAATGTGTTCTACAGACCAAAGGTGAGTTTTTCATTACTTGTCGGTAAGCTGATTCATTGATTCATCGATACTCTCATTGGGCTTAGTTACATGTATGTCCTAAAGCCTTGATAATTAACAAAGAACATGTAACCCCAGTCTTTTGCTGGCAATTCAAAGCTATGCACCAGTCACTGTAGTTTCGATGTTACATAATTTTTCGCATTCTCGTCATAACCTCACATTGTAGTTGATAAAAGTCAATAATAATACATTGATTATTGTTACCAGGATAAGCAGTCACTGGCTGATCAAAGGAAAGCCAAGTTTCACCAGTTAGAAGGAGATCATTTAACACTACTTGCAGTCTACAATTCGTGGAAGAACAATAAATTCTCTAATCCGTGGTGTTTTGAAAATTTTGTACAAGCAAGGACTTTGCGGAGAGCCCAGGATGTGAGGAAACAGTTGATGGGCATCATGGACAGGTAAAGAAACTTGCTTCATAGGGGAATCTACCATATGTGTGGAAAAACATGTTTTGCTCACGATGATATTCACCCGATACTTATACATTCGTTAACATGACCAAATTTTTACCCAGTTTCAATATTATCAATTTTTAGTATAATCTTAGAGGCACCCTTATGACAACACAGTTCGGTTTTCATAAGAAATATCGCACAAAGCTTGCCCTTGTAAATTTGGTTACAGATATTATCTGGTACTGACAAGACTGGACAATAGTTCTGTCACTCTTGGTGTGTTTATTGACCTTAGAAAGGCTTTCACATCAAGTCTCAGAAGTATTGGGGCAGTAAATTTGCAAACTCGCTAACGAATAATAAGTACTGGTAATTTACAAAAAAAAAATATGCAAATCTCATTCCTATCAAATAATGGAGCGTTCTATCATAATCACACCTTTCCCATGATCCCAGGTGGGGTAACATTAAGACAACCGCTAATAAAGTTTGTTCGCATTCATCGTTTTTGCATGGAAAATCCCTTGCCTACGAACACCTAATTACACAAAGGACATAGAACACTTTCCATGGTATATTTGAAACTGAAATCAACATCTGACAGTAAGCCCCTTTTTAGCCCCTGAAAGTCTGACGATGGTCCCCTACTATAATATAGATTCAGCTGTAAAAATATAAGATCTACCATGATCTCTATATTAAAATCTACAAGAGACTGTATAGAACATCTACCAGTATGGTTTACATGGTGTAGCAAATGTTTTCTACTGTATTGCTGGAAACTTAGTAATAATTTTGTACCAACATGTACTTGTTTTTACAGACACAAACTAGATGTTTTCTCATGTGGTAAGAACACTGCCAAAGTTCAGAAAGCAATATGTAGCGGGTTCTTCCGTAATTCAGCTAAGAAAGACCCACAGGAAGGTTACCGTACATTGGTAGATGGACAAGTTGTGTATATTCATCCATCAAGTGCACTGTTCAATAGACAACCTGAATGGTAAGTGTCCCAGACACAATAAATCCCTTCTCAGTCCATGTTAGACTGTCAACAGTTGGTCATACCTAATATTAATCTGTTATTATTAATAAATATTGTGTTTAAACGTAATAGGCGTGAATTAATTACGGGACAGGTAGTATGGAATGCCGTTAGGCGTGACTGACTGTCCGGTGCTGCAATTCACCGGTAAGATTTCTTACCAGATCCGGGTACTTTCATATGCAAATGAATAGTCGCGCAGATGTCTATCATTTTATCGTGGCCAATCGTGAAAAGGGTCAGGGGTCGCTGGCTACTATGATTGCCAACGACTGCTAACTTCCCAATAACTCTCACTAGTTTGTTGAAATTTCCTGAACTCATCCATGTTTTTATGCAGAGTGGACGCTCTCAGTCCACATTTTCTGCACGCATACAAACTGACAAGATGTAGATCGATCGTCTCTGCCACAACAAATTTAATTTCTTCGCATGTTGTAGTTCTGTTGATCCCGCGAAACAGTCTCTTTCGTTTTTAGCTTCGCTGTCGACAAATATTACTGATTGAAAACGCATGTCAGAATGTTTTCAAACCTTGGATGGTTTTTTTCAGATTTGTTCATTTCATATAAAAATCTCCATTTTTGGTGAATATTTTTGTCATTTTTGGTAAAAATGATATTTACAACTTCTTGTTAAAAACCGCAAGTTCAATTGCTTTGATATTACATATATAGGTACTACATGTGGACCTTTCTCAGACTTGTTCATTTCATGATAATATCTTCAATTCTCTAATTTTGATGGATATTTTTGGCAAGTAATTTTTTGACTTCTTGTTAAAAACCTCAAGTCCGATTGCTTTAATACTATACATATTGTTCATTTTCTAATGGTATCTTCAGTTCTTAATTGAAATGTGCATTGCTAACAGCGGAGCTATCTCAGCCGACAGGCTGCTTATTTTATTTGACTGCCACAAACAATGCACGTTGTTTCCTTGGTTCTAGGCAATTTAATAGTTTTCTTTGCTATTTGAATGGAGTGACTGTAATTATTGTGTTCATAACGTGAATAACCAACGCATTCAGGGGGTCATTTAAAATAAATTTGCATACATTATGTTAATATAATTTATTTCGTGACATTAGCATCAACTATGAATTATTCATACCAACTAGAAACTGCAGACGGGGACAGTCTCTCGGGACTAAAGTTCCTCGCGTGAAATGGTTCGCATTTCCTATCAAACGCCTTTGGCGTTTGAATGTCTAGGAAACACAATTACATTAGGCCCGAGAACTGTCAACAGTCTATTAAATCCATGTCAATAATTGCCTCAAACAAGCTTAGAAAACACTCGAGGTTAAGTTTTTTGGACACCAACATTTTTTCTTTGTTAATTTTGGACAAAATAGGCATAATCTTCCTTTGCTCACTAGTCTTTGAAAGATATGAATAAAATACACAGGTTTAATTCATAGTTTTGTCAATGAAATGCAGTACTTATACAGATATTTTCGTCATGCACAGTGTTTGATGTAAACTAACAAACTTGTTAGTGAACATTGTACAAGACACTTGTAACACTTTCAAACTCAAGTTTAGTCAAAGCTTGTATAAAAGGCAGAATTAGATTTGTTGAAGCCTGACAACAAACAACCTGCTTTCTGATCAGTCTGACCATTGGGGTTGTTGGGTAGCCAATCAGGTAAGTAGTTTTGCATTAACTCAGGATTTATGGACAGATGTACGTATATAGTATACTAATGTTATTTACTTGTACATTACCAGGGTTGTCTATCATGAGCTTGTCTTAACCACCAAAGAATACATGCGTGAAGTTACACAGACAGACCCTAAATGGATGGTGGAATTTGCACCAGCATTCTTCAAATTTGCTGATCCAACAAGACTCAGCAAACAGAAGAAACAACAGAGGCTGGAACCACTTTACAATAAATATGAAGAAGCAAACGCATGGCGTATATCAAGACAGAGATACAGGCGAAATTAATGTTAATGCTAGTTCATTCATTTTGTGCTAACTTTGAGTATATTCATGAAGTTGGCCATGTGTGAACCAGACCTTGACTTGGTTTGTTTTAAATATGGATATTAGAAACAATTGCCATATTTTGATTTTGGCTATCGCTCTGGAAACCACTACGTAATGTAAATATAACATGGTGTATCAAAACTTACTTCGTCAATGTAAGTTTAAAACTCAAGCCGTTTTAATATTGTCAGATCTGATGAAAAGTTTTTTTTAACAGCAAAGTATTTCATTTATTTGTATGTGTATTTCTATTCTATGGCTTGCTTCTCCATGGAATAAAGATGGCATTGTCTTCTGTTTTATAAATAAATAGCTGTATGCTAAACTGAATCTTTTTATCACATGTATGTCACACTGATTTCATGGGAAATGTGTCTATAAACATTCAGTGATTTTCAGGGTAAATTGACAGTTTCAGCTTCTGATTAAACAAAGCCAAACCAAAACTCTCTGAACACAATTCAAAAACATTAGCAATTGAAACAAAATTAGCAGTGACAATGCACAGTCCTTGTTCTGTATTTAATGCTGAATTCCATCACTACATGAGTGTGGGTGTATTTTTGACTGAATCAGTTATTGGCTGAACATATTTGGTTGAATCCCTAAAAAAATTGCAATTTATAACATTGTACCAAGTTTGAATGAAATCATCACTGAGATAGTTGTTTAAATGACATGCACCTGTAAACAGTATGTGTGATTCTGAACACTTTTACTGACTGATTTTAGACTAAGTGGCTGCTAATTTGACAAATCACAAAATAACAATCAGTATAATAATTGTGTACAAATTTTAACCTGAATCTAGTGATATATTAGTGAAGAATTTGCATAGAATAAAAACAAAATGGCCACTTTTTTTAAATCTTGAAAATAATGACATACACCTGTAACTCAACCTGCCATGCAGACTAGTTTTATACATAATGGCAGTCAATTTGACGAAAGAACACATACTTTCAACTGAATCAGGCAATATCAGTAATGAATAAAAGCAGTTCCGAAACAAAAATCATAGAGAAACTACTCCAGACTGACGACTGGAACCCAACTTATTAGTCCCCGATTTTGGACTTTGAGCTTGACCAGGTGTCAAGGTTTGGAATTTTGGAGGTAAGTAGAAGTTTTTTTTCCCTGTCGGCCAAGCTGACCATCACTTTTATACTGGTAGTCAGTACCTATATAACCTCTACCAAAGATTTGGTTGGGAAAGCTACTCACTCGTAGTTTCAATACAATCCACCAACACCAATAGGGAGAAGCAGTGTGTGCATTTATTTCAAGTTTATGTTGGAACTGTTGAGGTATTCAGTCTTGTGACACTTGAAACAGCATGGCTAATTGTGTGACTAACTAGTTTAGTTGGGCATTCTAAACTTTGCTTACAGTTGTTAGCCAAGGGAGCAGTTTTAACAAGGAGAGCAACTTAAAACTAAGCTATCACCAATTTCAGTGGAAGTTTCGGGCCAAATAAATGCCACATAGTATGCATTGAATTATGACTAAATAAGTTTGTTTCGCGAACTTGTTGAAGATTGTCAATTGTGTCATCAGTCAGGTTCCGATTCTAAATAGCTGACTTGTTTCAGTTTTGTTTATTAATTCAAAACATTGCTTGCTGAATTTTTCAATTTTATCGTGGAGCACAAATAAGTGCAGGTTTACATATATAAGCCCAAAGTTGCGATCAGAATTCTCAATATTGCCTGTTTACTGTTAAATACTTTATTTACACCATTTTCATTAAAGTGATAATTACTATGATGCATGAATCGGGTGAAATTTCTAAAGGCCTGGCACTTCTTATGGTAGCCAAACCCCTATTTAGGTTCTACAAGTATCTGTTGCATTAGGGGACATAGAATGCTTTTACGTAGCCTGGTAGGTACATGTCTAGATTCCCCTGAATGATTTACTTTGTTACGAGGCGTGATAATGTAAAAGTACATGTAGTTTCCCTGGTAAGCCTCAGAATGGCCAGTCAGCTGGCGTGAAGCGATATGATTAATCCACCGATATTTATTATATGACGTAGCCATCTTGAACACAGTTTCAAACTAAATAAAGAGACAAGTTGATAAACTGTTTCCTACAAATGACAAACTTTTACATGTAAATGATCCGTCGGGTAACATTAGCCAACCGTTGAAAAAAATCAACCTCATTCTTTGTTTTTGTGTGGTCAATCCCTTGTATACGAATACCTCATTGGATATAGAACACCTTCCCTGGTATATACATGTATTGCGAAATCGTCATCCAACTGTGGCTGATTAGCTCCTAAAGTATGACAACCGTCCCCTGCTGTTATAAAGATTCGCTCAGAGTGGGTGTCGGCACCAGCGAGATTCAAAAGCCAACTGTTTAGTCAGCAGTTAGCCAATTTTACAATATTTTCGATGGAAAGAAACCTTTTTGAACTGAAGTGTTTTCATACAAGATAATGCTAGTTCAGTCGTGAGATAAATTCACAAAACATTTTAATAACCTGCTCAATTTTGGCGAAAGTCGTCATGACAACTTAATGCAAAAAATAACAACAAATTGTACTACTACTACTGATATGTTAAATGTACCAAAGTTCATCATACTCTCACCGGGAAATTAAACAATCCAAAAGTTATAAATAGTCACTATTGAGTACATTGATTCACAAGAGCTATCTGTACATTTCATGTACCGTAAGTAAGTACAACTCACAGCCTAAAGTATCAGTTTTAAAACAGTTCTAAGAATAATTTAAAATCTCATTTGATATTTGTTACACTGTCCAATGCTTTTCGTGAGCTCTGTAAGAAAACAAAAAACATTAATGAAAATTTATATTTTATATGATCTATTTGACCAATATGATTCGCAGCTCTCGTATTCATCGGAACTGGCACGTACTGCTGTATATGGCCGCCATACTGCTCAAATTATTTGTGACATTGTAGTTGTACGTAATTGTCATGTTCAGCACTGACCTTTCAGTGCCATCAAGTCATTACAACTACTAGGGTATAGAATCCAGTAATACTTCACAATAGTTGAGAATCGGATGATTTGTTGTTGGCCTCTGGTCGTTCAAAATTAACAACTAATTAGGTAGGATTCATGTTTCTTTTTATAGTATGCAAATCCATGTGTTAAAAACTGCCATTCATTACGGAGAGTGACAATAAATTGCCCAATGACAGCATGACAGATTTATATGCAAATAAGAAAGATTCCGAAAGCAATGTGTTCAAATCAATCTCACCTGACCATGTTTTGTCGATTTATCACTCCATCCAACCTTGTAGTTATCACCTCTTCGTAATTTACTGAAAAAGAAAGAGCATTAAATTGAGAATATTGCTTCTTGTACTTGTATGACAAATATATGGTCAGTATTTATATGTTCCTTTTTGTACATGTTTAAGTTTTACACTGAATTAAATCTATGTGGCGAGTTTTAACAAAATTGATCCAAGTACAATGTATTCATAATATAAAATACATGCATGTATTAGAAGCCACATCCCTAATAGAAGTCGCACCCATTCTTTTTGAACAATTGAGAACCAAATATTCATCATTTCTCATATGTGTAGATGGTCTAATAGAAACTTTGTTGCATTGTACCATTTTAATAGAAGTTACGGCTTATAATACAGATTTTACAGTACTACATGAAAATTAGAACACGGTTTTCAACTCACAAGCATGAAACATAAGTGACTTTCGAACCATGTAGAAAGGGAGTTTCTAAGTGATTTCCAACATGGCTGTAATATCAATTAAATTTCAGTGTATCCCTCACAATTGTTGTTGATATTATGTTTATATCACTGTTCATCACATCACTGATACTGTTATTTTTATGATATCAGTGTAGACTATTAACCTTTTCACCATCAGACTTTCTCATCCAAATTGTTTTTCCTTATACTTGTCTGTATATGTGGAAATGAAAACAGACAAAATTTGAGTCAATTTTCACTCCAAAAATGTGGCTATTTTTGTCCCAATCTTCTATACTATAAACTATTTTGTGAATTTGTGATGGAAAGAGGTGATGAAAAGGTTAAAATTTACATATAATCAACGCAAATTTTACTATAAATGGAACAGAATAAAGTTTTGGGCAACTCTGTGCGTCCATTAATGACATTCACATTCTAATCCCTGTAGAGAGCGTAAATCCCATAACTATTTACTTTGTGCTTGAAAATACTCTCTTTACATGTGACCCTTTTGAAGATGCAATTCAAAAAGAACAAATATGGTATACACTAAATCTCTATTATTATCAAATATATACTTTCTTTATGATCATATTTAGTAATTACACCATGCATTACAAACAGAGACACAATGGCAGAATTTCCAGTGTAAATCGTCTTACAAGATTCCACATTTTTACCCAATTTAAAAAAGATGTATGTACCCAAAAAATAAATACTGCATTTGGAAACAATTTAATTACAGTTCACTGTTGAACAACTGTAAAATTGGAAACTAATTTGCTCGGATTCAGATTGTATGTAACAATAAATGTTGTATACCTGTGGAGTTTCGGTTCCTTGTAGCTTACAACCATAGCTGCGGCTCTGCGACTCTTCTTTACTGCCATTCGGTCAACAGGGGATGATTTTCTCTTTTTGGATTTTGATGCGTCAGAAACATACTCGCTGAGATCATCTACTTCCTGCTTCACTACGATCTTTTCTTTGAGTTGTGGCATTTCGTGTTTGTGATCGGCAACATTTTCGTCCTTTTTTTGTTTATGTTTAGCAAATATTGGCTGCTTGGGAGAAAAGTCATCATTGTCAAGATCATTTTCATCTACTAATTTTTGATGGTCAGTAGATCTAGTTTTCCTGCCACAAGTTGATTCCTCGTTATTGTCATTTTCAGAGGGAGGATTTACACGAGCCGCTTTCTTGACTTTTTTGACTGGCTGCTCATTTTTCCTTTTTGGAAACAAGACATTTTCAACTTGGTATTCCCCCGCCTGTTTCTCCTCTGTCGTCATGGTAATATTTGTCAACTCAACGCCACTGCTTTTTGAAATCTTGTTACTTTTCTTTTTTGTATACTTCCGTTTCTTCTTTTCAAGTTTAGCAGAAACCATCTGTTCATCTTCTTCACCATCCATCACATCTGAAAGCGATCGTTTGTCATCGTCTGTTGTCCTGGAAACCTTGCTGACAATTGTTTTGTCTTCACTAGTGTGAGATTTATGTGGCACAATTTCAATAACAGGGTGAAACGAATGATCTCCAAATGACAGTTCGCTTACGGAGATATTCTGTTTTTTCTTCTTTGATTTCTTCAATTTCTTTTGAAGCTCTCCATTGCTGGATTTACTCTCATTTGTCTTTTGCAATTCTCTGAAATCAAATACAACATCCGCCCCATTCTTCTTTTGACTAATTACTTCATCATACTCAGCTGCCAATTTTTTCACTTTTTTCACATGGGGTATTCTGGAAGTTTTATTTTGAGACACAGTTTTCTTTGCAGCATGTCCACGATCTGCTCTTTGATCAGTTTTCCTTTTTCTTTTAATGACGATAGCTGGTGTTTTTCTGACACTATTTGTAAATTCTGCATTCAATGGACTTGTTACATTTTCATCAATTTCATTTGGAATACCTTCATCAAGAAAACTTGCATGGCAGTCAACCACCTTCATCGTGTTCTTATTAACAATCGTTTCTTCTTCCATTTCTTTGACATCGTTGTCACTACTAGAGGACGAGGAATCATTTGAAACGATACAAGGCTTTACAAAAAAAGTTGCTCGTTTATCAGTTGGTTTCAATACGCTTTTTGATGCTGGCTTCATCACAAATGTACCTCTCCTTGATTGCTCGTCATTTACTGGAATTAAATCTATCTTTTTGTTTAAAACTATAGTTCGCCTGATTTCCTTGAGTTCTGATTTCTTTACATCTTCAGAAGATCTTGGTTGGTTATTATGTGTCAGCATCGCACAAGCTTTCTTGCTAGACAATCTTCTGCTTTGCCTTTTATTATGAGGAGCTGTGTGAAGCAATGACAGATAATTTGGAGTTAGGCATCTTTAGTAAGTTTCTGTTCTATGGGGAGCTGTGTGAAGCAATGACAGATAATTTTGAGTTAGGCATGTTTAGTAAGTTTGTGTTCTATGGTGAGCTGTGTGAAGCAATGACAGATAATTTTGAGTTAGGCATGTTTAGTAAGTTTGTGTTCTATGGGAGCTGTGTGAAGCAATGACAGATAATTTTGAGTTAGGCATGTTTAGTAAGTTTGTGTTCTATGGTGAGCTGTGTGAAGCAATGACAGATAATTTGGAGTTAGGCATGTTTAGTAAGCTTGTGTTCTATGGGAGCTGTGTGAAGCAATGACAGATAATTTTGAGTTTAATAGGCATGTTTAGTAAGCTTGTGTTCTATGGGAGCTGTGTGAAGCAATGACAGATAATTTTGAGTTTGGCATGTTTAGTAAGCTTGTGTTCTATGGGAGCTATGTGAAGCAATGACAGATAATTTTGAGTTAGGCATGTTTAGTAAGTTTGTGTTCTATGGGAGCTGTGTGAAGCAATGACAGATAATTGGAGTTAAGCATGTTTAGTAAGGGGTGATCTCATATTCAAACATGCGGGTCAAACCTACGAAAACCCAAACCGCCCTAAACCGCCCGAACAAAACCCAGTTTTGCGGTTTGGAAGTTTAAACAATAGACAGTGCGGTTCAGGACGACCGCACGAATTTGCATAAAAACTGCGGTTCGAACCGATCTCATTCACACCTCATTCAAGCTGTTGTTTATTTTTAGGATTGACAGTTTACATTGCTTTTTGAAGACTAGATAGTTGTCTGAAAAATGTGTCGATTTATCGGTGTACAG